CCGCTGCAGCCTGGGCCGCGGGGACCCGCGTCCTGTGGGTCGGTGGCAGTGGCCGGGGCAGGGCCTACCGGCAGGGCCGCTTGGAGGGGCACGGAGAAAACTCTATAGAGAGTGTGGCAGCCCCAGGCGGCCAGGGAGGGGGCGCATGCCAGGGACTCAGACTTAGGGAAGGGTCGTCCACGGGGTCTCCTCACTGGCTGGGAACTGAATGTGCGGCTGAATGACCCCAATGGCTTTTTCTCCAAATGGATGCCCACACCCCAGGCACCAGATGAGACCCGGGAGTCGAGCCTCTGTCCTGGCTCTGGCGGCTCAGTGGGGCCAGTCCAGGACGCGTCCCCGCGAGAGCTGAGGGGAGGGGACGCGGCGACTGAGTGTGGGGCGGCTGATGGGGCGGAGAGAGTCGGAGTGGGGGTGGGGGTGAGACGTGGGGACGTGGCGTCAGGAAGGAGCCCGCAAAGGGGACAAGGCTGCGGGACGGGGGCTCGACAGCGCCGGGAAGAAGTCAGCGGAGGGGCGGGCCTGGGAGGGCCGGACCCCCCCCCCCCAGGTAGGAAGTTGGGGGAAAACGGGTCGTGCGTGGGAGGGTGGGGAGCGGGAGTGCCTGAATGGCGCCCTCCGCGCAGAACCGGCTGGGAGAAATGGAAAGCCAAGTTCGGTGCGGGGCGTCGAAGATCTGGAACGGTCTAGGTTGAGGAGAAAGCAAGCGTGGGTACGCTGAGCCCCCAAAACACGACGGCGCTATGGGCCGATCAGGCAGGGGTTGGCGGGGCGCCTCTGGGCGGGGAGAGGAATGGGGCTGGCGGCCCTCGAGGGCAGGGCGTACTGCAGGGGGGAGGACCCGTCCGGTCCGCTCCCCTCCCCTCCCTCCATTCCAGTCTTTCCCAGGGTGACAGCGTGGGTCTGGCCAGCGAGGTCAGCGCCAAGCAGCTGGCTGGCAGCCGTGGGGCTCCACGGGGCGGGCGGCGCGCGGGGGGTGGTTCTTGGAAAGCATCGGATACCGCCCAGGGCAGCGCCCCCCTTAGTGGCTAAATATTTGCTCCAACAAGTCCCGCCAGCGTGTGCTATCCTCTTCCCAGGCTCGTGTTCCCCCTCCCATGTTCTCAGGTTCCGATATCCGACCGGCCCCCCACCCCATCCCTGCTCAGCCGCCAAGCCAGGACCCAGAGTTCCCGCGGGGACGCGGCCTGCCCCCATAAGGACAAGGAAGTGTCTGGGAGGGGGCAGGGGTGCTGCTAGGGGTCGGGGGGAGGCCCCTAGCTGGGCCCACACCGGGGTCCCGGGCTCCAGAATGGGGTGGCGCGGCTTGAGCGCACAGCTGGAGGACAGAGCGATCCGGCCCCCCGTTCGGTTGGACACAGCCGGAGACGCGGTGGGGAGAAGGCGGGCAGTCTGTGTCCGGCCCCGGAGAGACTGTTCCCGGCCTGGGGCGGGGCTCCGAGGACCCCGAGCGTCCAGGACACGTGGGGCCGGTGAAGGGGGCGGGGCGCGTCTGGCTGGAGCCCGGCCGGATGGGAGAGGGGCCAGGTCGGGACAGCGGGGCGGGGGTACGGGCCAGAGGCAGGAACAGACGCCAGAGTGCATGGATCCTTTTATAAAACACGGGGGGGAAGGGAAGCGGGCACGGCCGGCTCACACGAAGATCTGGATGCGGTCGCGCACCGGCTGGCGGCAGATGGGGCAGGCGCTGAGCGCCGCGCCGCAGGGTGCGCACGCGCCGTGGCCACACTGAAACACGAGGCGGATGTGGCTGTCGATGCAGATCGGACAGGTGATGCGCTCCTCCATCTGCCTGTAGCGGCTCTGCAGCTCTTCTACCAGCTGCCGCGGCGGGCCAGGAGCGGGCGGGGCGCTCGCGACCTCCGTGCCGTCTGTAGGGGGCAAGAGTGGGGGGAGGGGGCGTAACCCTCGGCCGGGGGGTGGGGGGAAGCAGGGGATTAAAGGAGGTACAGCGGGAGCAGGCGCGTGGCCGGGCGGGGCGCTCGCCCCCTCCGTTTGGTGTACCGAGAGTCAGGTGAGCCGAAGAGAGATGCCAAGTCCCGCCCTACCCACCTGGGCGCACCTTCTTGCTAATAGCCACCTGGCACTTGATGCACTTCTTCATCCGGCGGGCGCACTCTGAGAAGAGTAGGGGGGCGCGTTGGGCGAGGCCTCATTCCACCCCTTCCCCGACCCACTGCCGCCAGTACTCACCTTCGCACACGGTACGGTGCTGGCACGGAGAGAAGAGCACCAGCAGAGCCAGCTCAGAGCACACCAGGCACTCAGCCGCCTCGGGCCCCGCTGCTGCTGTCACGTGCAGGTTGGTCACCGTGTTGGGGGTGCTGAGCATGTGCCGCGCCCCTGCCGCACCCCCACTGCCTTCCGTCGCCTGACGCTCCCTGTATGGGAAGAGTAGGGGCTTTAAAGGGCCCGGGCCGCTGCAGACCACCCCCCAACCCCTCCAGTGCAAGCTCACCGGAAGCGCTGGGCGCAGCTCTGCAGGGCCTTGAGCACGTTGCCCTCGGCGGCCAGGTCCAGCGGACTCCGGCCTCGGTGGTTGGTGTAGCTCACATCAGCACCCTCCAGTGCCAGGAAGCAAGCAACTGCCGCGCCCACAGTCAGCTCAGCGCTGCCCGGGAGGCCCGAGGCCTGCAGCTGGTCAGCGAGATGGACCTGATGAGGGCTGGGCGCTGGAGCAGGCCCTAGGCCTGAACAGTGGTCTGTAGCAGCCTCTGCGGGCACCAGGTGGCCCCACCCACCACCCCCAGCAGCCTGAGCATGGAGGTGGTCTCCTCCCTGGGAACTCCCTTCCTGTGTGAGACCCCTGGCAGCGGCGGGAAAAGCTCCCTGGCACTGCATTAGAGGCTGCGTTCTGAGACCACACCTCTAACCATTCACCCCCCCACTGGGCCCCTCTCTTGCCACTTTCCCAGGCTGGTCAGGAGCACTGGCCACACCAGTGGTGGGAGGGAGTCACAGACAACGCCTCCTGCAGACCCCAAGTCCCCCAGGCTGCCCCTCCCCCCCAGTGGACCTGGCTCCTGGGGCTTTAAGGTGGATAGTCACCCAAGCCCCGCCAGGAGCCTGTGGCCACCTCTCTAGCCAGACAAGCCCACATTTCCTCACCCTGGACAGCAGCTGCAAGGGCCCTGGGTCCCCCCCGGCCCCGTCAGTCGCCAGGGGCAGCAGTTGGTGCCGCTGCAGTGCCACATGCAAGGCAGTGTCCCCGTCCTCATCCTCGGCATTGACACTGCAGCCGGCGTCCACCAGCAGTGGCACCAGCCCCATGTGGGCCTGCTGCACAGCCAGGTGCAGCGGCGACTGGAGCTTCCGGTTGCGCAGGTTCACGTCACAGTGGCCCTGGGGTAGGGCAAGGGGGCACAGGCTCAGCCCCCGGGGGCGGGGGGCAACTCCCCAACCCTGGGCAGGCCTGGACCCTGTACTGGCACCTCTCGGATGAGGATCTGGGCCACGTCACGGTGGTTGTTGAGGGCGGCCAGATGCAGTGCTGTGAAGCCATCCTCCTTCCTGGCGTCCACCAGCTGCCGGGCTCGTGCCAGGATCTTCCGGACGGCTCTGCAGGGGCAGGGAGGTCCGACTGAGCCCAAGAGCTGTCTCAATGGCCTGGCCAGCTGTCCACCTGCCCATCCCACTCACAGTGCATGGCCCTTGAGCGAGGCATGGTGCAGTAGCGTGAAGCCCTGGCTGTTGGTGGCGGTGACGTCGATGCCCGGCACCTCAGTAAGAACTTCAACAATGCCACTGGCTCCAGTTCCCACTGAGATGGCGCAGTGCAGCGGTGTGTTGGCATGGGCATCCTGCCAGGGGGTGGGGCCGGGGTCACTCAGCCGGAAAACCACCCAGCCACCACCTTGACCCTGGGGACAGAGCCGGGAGACCCAGGTGCTGGCACTCACAGGCAAGTTGACATCACAACCATGCTCGCACAGCACACGCACCACCTCCAGGAAGCCCCTCTGCACGGCTATGTGCAGTGCTGCACTCCTCGAGCCATTAAAGGCATCAGCGCAACAGCCCGTGCTCAGCAGCAACCTGGCAGCCTCTGGCTGGTTCCTGGGGGGAGGAAAACAGGGGTGCTGTGCCAGTCAGCAGGACCCTTCCCATGTGCCCCAACAGCACACTCCAAGTGGGCCTCACCCCAGGGCCGCATAGTGCAGCGCCATGTTGCCCTCATCGTCTGGCACGTCCACGCCTGCCCGTGCCTGCAGCAGCAGCCGCACCATCTCCACCTGGCCCAGGTAGGTGGCCACCTGCAGGGCAGTCTTGCCCTGGTTCTTGGCATCCACCTGTGGGAAAGCCAGCAGATCAGCCCAGAGCCCTTGGCGCTCTGTTCCTTGGGCTAGCCAGGTGTGGGTCCTGGGGCCTTGCCTGCTCTGGGTGCCGCCGCAGCAAGTCCAGTGCCCGGGCTGCATTGCCCAGTGCCACCTCCACCACAAGTCTCCCCAAGTGCTCCGGGTCACTCTTCTGTGCCCGCAGCTTATCCAAGGCAACACTCAGGGAGCCTAGGGGCAGGGTGGAGGTCAGGGGGGGACAGGGCAACCCCAGCCCCCCACTGGCCACCCAGGCTTGCCCCTACTTTTGTTTTCCCGGGCACGCTCAGCCACATCCAGGTTGGCATCCTCCTCAGGCCGGTAGGCCACTAGGCAGGAGGGGCTGAAGGTCCACAGCTGGCCACCGACTGCCACACGTAGGTTCCCGTCCCCGAACACCTTCACCACCTTCCCGACGCGGCCCAAGGCCTACGGAGGTGGAGTGTGGGATCACGAACGAGTCTCCAGGGCAGGGGAGTGGGTAGGTGGGGTGGGCAGTGGAGTGGACACTCACGGGGGCCATGTCATCTGTCCACTCGCCGTGCCCGGCCTGCAGTCGCTTCACTGCATCGAGATCATCGATGACCCGGACCACATCGCCCACCCAGAAGGAGTTGTGCTGAATGAGGGAACAGCATGTGAGGTGTCCCCCAGCTAGGGGCTCAGGCTAGATGAGGGCTACAGGACCAGGGCAGCCCTGAAGGCCCACCCAGGGCATAGGGGTGACAGCTGAGAGGCAGCCGGGCAGCCAGCATGGGGTGGTGATGACCAAAGAGGCCTCACCCCTGGGGACCAGAATGGCATAGGGATGGTGCCCAAAGACAGTCCAGGCCCACTCCTCCCCAGGCATCTATCCTGCCAATACCCCCCACACCTACCTATCCCACCGCTCCCCAATGTCCCAAGCTAAGCCCCTCTCCCCTATCCCCATCTCCGCATTGTCCCCCTCCAGGCCCCTACTTGTGGTGCCCTCCTCCCCCTCCCCTACTCCTGCCATCTGGCTTCCCAAACAGCTCTCACCTGTGCCCCTCACTCAGTCCCCACCCCTTCGGCCAAGCATTCACCTCCCTGTCCTCACAATGGGCCTCCCCATAGCCTCTCCACCACTCCCGTCTGCTCCCCATGCTGTGCCAGAGGGATCATTTAGAAAGCAGACCCAGCTGTGGCTACAAGCCAAGCGACTTCAGGATGAGGATGCTCCACTCCAGCCCGACCACTCAGCCTCCCCAGAACCTTCGGTACCTGCACCCTCTTCCCGCCCCTCCTCATAGACCTTATCCCACTGACCCCTGGGGGTCACCTCATCCTCAGGGCTGGGGTCTCGGTGGCGCACCTTGATGAGGGCCCCGGGGTGGAAGGTCCAGCGGGTCTCGTTGCTGAACTGCACGCGCACATCCCCGCGATCTGTGATGCGGTGCACGGTGCCCGTCTGTCCGATAAACTGTGGTGCGTCATGGAGGCTGTGGCTGCACTGAGCAGAACTCTTGGGGGAAGAGGGGGCTGGGGTCCAGAGGAGGGGAGGGGTACATAGGCACAGCAGATGGGGTGCAGCTCACCTCAGCCATCCTGGGATTCCACCCGCCGTGACCTTCCTGCATCTCCCTCAGCACATCCGTGTCCAGTAAGCACTTGACTTTGTCTCCGTGCTGGAATGGCTGGCCATCTGCACTCACCCTCCGCTGCAGCTCTGCTGGCTTGCCTGTGGGTGGCAGCAGATAGGCCTCAGGCAGTGCCCCCTCCCCAGTGGGATGTCACCTGCCAGCCCTGTCCCCACTCTGCCCCTAGAGGCTGAGCTGAAGGGAGGAGGGTGGCAGAGCAGGGTGTACATGGTGTCAGGTGGGGCCAGCCTCATACCAAGCCGTGGCAGGTGCTCCTTGTAGTAGAAACCACCGGCCGCCTCGCCTACACACTTGAGGTCCACCTTGCCCTTGTGACCCACGCGGTATACATTGGTGGTGCCATCAGCCCATGTCACGCTGGCCACACTCCGGCCTGTTTCCACATCCCAGCCACGGATATCCACCACACGGCCTGGTTTCCCTTCTCCTCCTAGGAAGAGGTAGGCCCTGCTGGCAGGCTAAGACTGCGCCACGAGGCTGAATCATAGCCCATCACAGCCCCACCCCAGTCCTCGTTGCTGCCCACTCACCATCTTGAGAGCCCCACTCCCAGTCAGGGCCTCGGACCACCTTTGCCCCCTGGAAGATGCCCCTCAGCGGGATCCTTGGGAGGCTCTGGCGAGGACTCAGCGTGATGCTGCAATAGAGGGGG